CATTAAATTTGGGAATAAAATCAAAAAATATTACAGGGGGAATTTTTGCACTTAAGGGGCAAAAGACATAGAATTTTAACATTTTAAAGGGGTGATCCAAAAAAAATTTTACAGGAAGTAAATCAAAATTCACCTATAATGTAGGGGGATATTGTATATTTAACCCTAAAATTTATGAGGCAACACAATTCAATATGTTGTTAGGTGAAACAACAAAAATATCAACATAATTTTAGAATACCTCAATAAAATTTGATCTAGTTTCTTGAACCTGTATGGGCTAGGGGTGTTCAAAATCGAATCGACCCAATACAAAACTGCAAAATCGAACCAAACTAAATTGAAACCGTAAAAATCATGTTTGATTCGGATGTGTTTGGGTCATTTTTAACAAAGTCGTGCGGTTTGATTCGGTTTGCGGTTTGTATTTTCCAAACCGAACTAAACTGAACCAATCTGCATTATGTTAGAACTCAAACTTCACTTAACCCACATCCAATCCAAACCCAAACCTGTTATGCCTTAACCTTACGATAAGGAATGATTCTCTCTTCCTCACACTTAAAGTTTTAGTTTAAGTCTTCTCAGATCTCTCAAAGCGATATCACACATTCTTCTCATCTTCTTTTCCAAGTACATCTCGTCTCTTCTTCTCTAGTCATTAATCTCTTATGTTCTTTCTTTTTCATCTTATTATTTTTATTCTACAGGTCTCTCTTCCAATTACGCTTGAAATACATATTTTCTTATATCTCCTCTCTTCTTCTATTTCTTTTTCATCTTCTCTAATATTTCATCTCCTCTATCTTTTCTATTTCATTATAATATTTTTTATATTGGTTTATTCTACTATATAATGTTTTTTATTCCACTTTTCTCTAATCTTATTTTTGTAAATTAAATGAAAAGTTGTTATCCAAATATGATGAATTTTATTGTTATTTGATGATGCATAAATGTCTAAATACAAAGTTATGTTGTCGTCTATATGTGTATGTATGACTTAATAATTTTTTTGTAAAAAAACGAACCAACGGAACCAATCCAAACCGCATTGGTTTGATTTGGTTCGATTTTATTTCTAAAAGTCAACCGAACCGCACACTTTTTCTCTTGCGGTTCGGATATTTTTTACGTCAAAACCGCATCGCGAACACCCTGGGCTAGTCTTAATGGATAGCAGACTTTTTAAGAGGGATAAAAAAAGGGAATTTCTTAAAGCACCCTATATACCCCAAAAAATATCCTATGTAATTCCCAAAAAGCCTATCATTTTTCGGAGATGTATCTCCGGACGCAATCTTTTTTTGTTTAACGTCAGCTTTTTTCGGAGATGCATATTCTTAAATTGCTCGGAGGTGTATTTCCAAAATTTATGCAGACATCTACACAGCTTATTTTACATGATTCTCATATCTAGACTTCAAAATGTAAAATGTTAGAACATTTTCTAAGATTCGACAAAAATAACGATATGAATAAAATGACATATATATATATATATATATATATATATATATATATATATATATATATATATATATATATATATATATATATATATATATATATATATATATATATATATATATATATATATATATATATATATATATATATATATATATATATATATATATATATATATATATATATATATATATATATATATATATATATAAGCCAAGACTACAAAATGTATCAAGAGTACCAAGAGTTACACCGAAGTCGATAAATAAAATACAATCTAAAATGTATCAAGTGTATAAATACAACACTCTTACTACGTATGTCAGAATATGAGTCGGCCTCGCCCTCGTCTCCCCCACGTTCCTGTGTTGCCCCCTATAGTGCAGAGCCTCACGAGCCTCCTCTATCATGGAATCTATAACACCCTTTGCCTCAGAGCCATCCAAAAAGCGTCCTCCCTCAATACTCGTATGTCTAATCTTCATGATACGAAGACATCTAAGCAAGACATCATGAGCATGACCTTCCCTAGCCTGCTTCTCCTCTAGCATCTCCTGATGAGCTCGCCTAGGTGGATTTCCGGGAGCATTTTGTACTAAATATGAATGTGACACCTGGAAGAACCACCAGATTTAACCGTCTACGTATCTCCATTCGTTCGGTGTTATAGTACTTTGTGCCTCATCTGATACCATATGATTAACACAATCATCAAACTTGACATCCATATCTATGTGTTTCACCAGGGGAGGAGCTTACACAGTAGGATCTCTGGGAATGTACTGTATGTAACCAAACTGACGCATGACGCGCTCAAGCAGACAAGGAGTCGTTAGGTGCGACCCTCAAGCCAATCATCCCAAATATAAGAAAATGTCATCAAATGAAATTGTCACACGGTGATCGACGTATGTATGGAAGTGTATATCCTCAAAGACCAAGCGATCAATATACACTCTGAACGACATTGTCGTCTGGTTCTCTATGAGCAGGTCGAATGCAGAAGCATGCGGTTTATCCTCAGTATAAGTCAGCTCAAGTGACCAAACGGAGATGTGTGGGAAGTATCGTAGGATCCATGCCTAAAAAAACAAGAATAATTAGTTAGTAACGACGTTGCAATAATTAATAAAATGGCACACAATCAATAGAAGACCAAGAAATGTTATTGTAAGAAGTGTGATAATGCAGGTCACCTGCTACGTCTTCCACATACAACCTTCAGATAATTTAGAGTGCAAGTAGACCAAAAAGCGGCCCCCAGTTGTACTCATGGATCTGCTTATAGTCCTCTAAGTACCGCGGGTATATAACATCCACATAAGTGGCACTCTTGTCCACAAAAATGGCAGGGACAACCAAATACAAGATATATGCTCTCATAGCATACGCTATGTGTTGCCCTATCTGCTCGGCATCACCATCAGCCTATCGTGCGCTCACTATCTCTTTTTCAAACACCCCATACAAATATCTAAACCTAGCATGAGCCTCACGGGTCTTGTCAAGATCTTTCATGGCACTCTATGGTGTAACTCCTAAGTATTCTACCATCAACTCCAGTCCCTCTTCTTTTTCACACATCCCATGATCTAAAAACTTCCCCTTAATCGGAAGATGCAGCAGGCACGCGACATTGTCCAGTGTGATAGACATCTCACCAGTAGATAGAAGGATGAAGTATTTGCATGCCATCTCTCTATAAATGCATTAATCATAACATGGTCAAATGTAGTATAACCAGTCAGGGTCAAATCTTGCAACCCTGATAGCTGCAACACTTCCTGAAACCATGGTTCATTAGGCTCTTCCAGGAGACTAATCTTCCGCATATGATTGATGATTTTTAGCAGATCATGTTCATGCATACATGGTTTAACAAGTGTGATTCAAACAAATAAAACTTAATGATAAAACAAACACATTTTTAAATGAATAGTTCTAACTAATTTTTACCTCTCCATTCCAGATATGTCTGGAAACATGGTCCGGGTAAGAGGCAGTAGTGATAAGTCTGACGGCCCTCCTCTAAAAATTTGAGGTGTCGCAGGTGCGGCCTCATCTGCCTAGGCCTGGGCCTGGGAATGAGATGCATATGATGCCTCAAGTGATGCTTGAGACTGTGATGCATCAGGTACCGTCGGTGTGACATGGGATTGGGTTACCTCTGGTGTGACATGGGACTGTGATGCCTCTCATGCCTCAGGTACCAACATGGATGAACTCATGTGTCTACATGAAGATAGAGGCCGAGAGGCGTGAGCATGAGCAGAAGAAGGCAGAGAGAGATGAGCCCCGAAATCTGATGCGACTCCTATCAACCGGTCCAGATGTAGAAGAAGGTTGGGTTGCTTGACTTTTTTCCCCTCTGAACTGAAGCATGTTGTGCAACCCTATCATGTCTCAATGTCGATTGTCTGTCAGTCATAACTCTTGTAAAGGGACAAGACAAACGTTACACAATGACTATTGTTCAAATAAAGGAAAACCTGCAAGCAGACTTATTTCGGAGATGTATCTCCGATTTATATGTAAACTTTGAAAATTTTCGGAGATGCATCTTCAGAAACTCTTGCAATCTCAATGATCGTCAATGGCGGAATGCAGAGTCTGAGAACCTCAAAAAATTCATTGATCATCAAAACAACCTAACTAAAACGTTCCTCAGTAGTTCTAAGATAGCAAACACTTAAAATCTTTCGTTTTTACAATCTAAAACTCAACTTCTACACAATTTTACATTTACTCGATAAAGTTCAAAAAAATCTTACAATTTCTCTCCAAAACTTGATTCTTGATGTTTGATGAAGCTTGAATACTGATGTTTGATGAAGATTGATGAAGTTTCGAACATTATGGTTGAGAAGTGTTTTAAGGAAATGGGCTTTTAAAAGGGTATCAGTGAGGAATGGGAAAGGACGATGACGCATATTTGAGACATTTGATGAAGATTGATGAAGTTTCGAACATTATGGTTGGGAAGTGTTTTAAGGAAATGGGCTTTTAAAAGGGTATCAGTGAGGAATGGGAAAGGACGATGACGCATATTTGAGACAACATTGTCTGGAGATACATCTACGTATGGATGTCGGAGATGTATCTCCAAAATAATTGTGTAACATTAGATCCTAAGGCAATGTGTATACGGTTTTGAAAAGAGTTTGAAGTTGGGGTGCGTCCAGAGATGCATCTACAAAATCTGTACGTAAATGCATCTCTGAATTATTATTTTAATTTATTTAAGGTCTTATTCAACAATGTGTATATTTTTGGTATGTCCGAAAATACATCTCTGAAACTTGAGGACATAACCATATTTTCACACAGTACAATAGAAAAGCATAAAGTGCATTAAAAGATTCTCCTAAAAATATCCTTATAAAATTCGGGCTCTAATTTAAAGATCCAGACCTTATATTTTATCGAGTTTGACATATTAGCTCATTTCGACGACTCACATTGCTCGAAGTCACAATTGTAATTTTAATGAAATACTAGAGCCCATTAAATTGAGATTAAGATCAACAAAGCTAAAAGTAACAAAGTGGCCTCCTGATTAGAATATCCTCGATAATCAAATTATAAGGTAAATCATAAAAACACCTGCACTGATAATTCCACAATGTCATTGACACTATCCCAAATTGATAGTAACCAATATCCTCACCACCTAATGAAAAAAATTGGCACAGGTAAAAAAGTATCTATGGGGGTCTTCACTAGATGAGGAAATCAAAATAATAGGCACTCAAACCTTTATTATATGTAACATATGTGCTGAATAGAATAAATAAGAACTGCTGAATGAGAAAGAGAAGAAATGAATCAATGGCCATAATCATTACAAGCTGATTGAGAATGTGACTAATGTATATTCTGCTTGCTGAATGAATAATCAGTTTCCTGCGTCTCGACTGTAGAACTGATCGAGTGTCTTTGCTGGTATACGGTGAAGAAGCTCGCGAGGGAAAATACGAAGCAATGTCCATGCAAGATCTAGAGACTGGAAGATGTTTCGGGTATCATAAGCTCCTTGTGCAACAAACTTCCTCTCAAACTTGTCCAGAAATTCCAGATACAGCTGCGAATAAAAAGATAATTTAATTAATACTGTTACATCAAGATTAACTTCGATATAATAAAAACAAATTATCCGTAAACAGAAAATATTAGAGACCAGATCCTCGGAGGAAAGTGCTTCTTCTCCGACCACGGCTTTCATTGCTTGGACATCTTTTCCAATGGCATAATTTGCATAGAGCTGGAGAAAAACATAAGGATGCCAATGGGATAGTTTAGAGACGGAAAATTTGCAATATGATAAACAAAAAAAAGGGTAAAAAAAAGAAGACCTGGTTCGACACATCAGAGTGATCTTTTCGTGTCATTCCCTCTCCAATGGCACTCTGTAGAAGTAACAGCAACCATGATGCATCACAAATTGAAGAGAGTGATGTTACTTTTGCTAGACAAGGCCAGAATTAAAAATAAATTTCGGCTAGATTAAATGGTGATTGTTCGATGGAATCAAGTGTAAGGGCCCCTCATTCAATCCAAGAGTAAACAGTTAAGAAGAAATAATTGGTTGATGGCATCTTGTGACATCAAGCAGACAAGATTAACCTCACCTTCATTAATCGGGAGAGCGATGGAAGAACATTGATTGGTGGATATATCTGTTCAAAACAAACGAAAAAGGAATCGTGTGTTTAGTTTCAGTCTGAAATTTTGTAAGCAGTTCACCCATGTAATACATCAAGAAATAAGCAGATCGAGAAATTGAAAGGCTTATTTTATAATGTGCAGTAATGCAATAATGAACATGATACGAATTTCAAGAAATGCGAACAAACAATATAACAGCCAGAGTGTTCGATATAACCGACCTGTCTGTTATGTAGCTGCCTGTCAATATATATCTGCCCCTCAGTGATATACCCAGTAAGATCAGGAGTTGGATGTGTAATATCTGTGTAAGAAGATGTTCAATAAAGATAATCAGACATAATTAAGAGTGCATTATGCAAGAGAGCTGAAAAGGTTTAATAATATTTCATTACCATCGTTAGGCATGGTTAGAATTGGAATTTGCGTGATAGAGCCTTTTCGCCCCTCGATTCTTCCAGCACGTTCGTATATTGTTGCAAGATCTGTATACATGTAACCAGGATACCCACGTCTACCAGGCACTTCTTCTCGGGCAGCAGATACCTACAGAATCCAGAAGTGATCAATAGTCTCGTTGACAATCAAATTGTTTCGAGCATTTCTTGTAGACAAACAAATTATAGTTGAAGGTATATTACCTCACGAAGAGCATCAGCATAAGAACTCATATCTGTGAGTATCACAAGAACGTGCTTGCCACATTCATATGCCAAATATTCAGCAGTAGTAAGAGCAATACGAGGAGTGATGATACGCTCAATTGTAGGATCATTTGCCTGCAATAAATCATAACAGAAAAAGAACAAGCATCGTAAGTATCAGATCCTCCATGCACGTAAGAAATCAAAATTTAAAAATTACAATATGTTAAAAACAATTATAAGGTCGCACATATTTCTTTTACAAAATTGTACTGTGTAAATATATTGAAGTTAAATACAGTGAAGAAAACATAATACAACGGCGAAAAACACAAATGAGAGTAATAGAACACTTGCATACTGATTCTAAATATTACCAGATTAAGGAAAAGGGTCACTCTCTCCATAGAGCCATTCTCTTCAAAGTCACGTTTGAAAAATTGTGCAGTCTCCATGTTAACTCCCATGGCTGCAAACACAATAGCAAAATTGTCGTCTTCTCCACCCTGTACATATTGAAAGTTTCAGTTAGAAAACCCACATTAATCTTACTTAGTGAAAAAGTAATGTGTTCAAATGCAAAAATAAGCAGAAAATAGTCATATTTACTTGAAGGCAATAGAAAAAATTGATCATTTGTAAGCCCCAAACCAAAAAGCTACGCCATTTCAATTAAATTATGTCCCCTTCTTAATATGATTTTGAGTCAAAATTGTATATTATCTTACCAGTTTAATGTCGGAATTTCTGTGTTCAAGAATGTGGTATATATAATGCTGTAATTTGGAATAAATTCAAAAAATAAAGCTGATTCAAAAGCACCCCATCAGGAATTTATTTGATGTGTTTAGGAATTAATCAAATAAAAACGAAGAGGTACTCTCCCACTGTATCAAAACTTGAAATAAAAGTGATGCATGTGCAATGAGCATTAAATAGCCAGCTCTAGCTGGCTATTTAATAGCTCTAGCCTCTAGCTGGCTATTTAACAACATTTTGTACTAAATAGGTTATCACTGAATAAATATTCTTAGAATATGTGGTAATAAAAAGATTGTCCCTACAAAACCGACTTGTGAGGTGAGAATTGTCCAAACTTTATAAATACTATGTAGGACATATCTCTAAGCAACATATCTCTATGGAGGCTGCAATGAAGGAAAGTCAAATGCCGCAATAAGGCGACTAGGGGCAGACCGCAATGAAGGAGGAATTTCCAACAAACCCACCACACTCAGGTCATCTCAATGAGACTGAAGTGTGGACAATGCGGGAAGCCTAACAATAGATCTAGGGTAGACTCTGATACCATCTTAAAATGTGCGGATTGGGTCTAAATCATTCCTACAAAACTGACTTGTAAGGTGAAGGTTGCACAAACTTTATAAGCAATGTAGGACTGAATCCACCCCTTCTAACTAACAAAATGAAAGTGTTGGAGGCTGGAAAGCAAGCCAAATGCCGCAATTAGGCGACTAGGGGCGTACCGCAATAAAGACAGAATTTCCAGCGAATGTGATTTGTTCAAATTCCTCTCCAATATAGCACTAAAGTGCTGCTACTTAACAACACTAATAAAGAACGCTAGCAAAAACACTAGCAGAAATATGCCACTTTTCTTTGGGCCCTAAAAACTACAGCTGATCAATACAAATTCCCATATTGCCTTAGCCATAAATATATGAACACAAAAAAAACACCCAAAAATGAGGAAGATATGGAACACTAACATTGTACAAAGCTCATGTTTTAGGAATGTGTAAGTAAATTTACGTTAGTACATCCACAATACCTCGAGAATATTATCGGATTTCTCTAGTCGCTTGACTAAGCCAGCCTGGCGACATATCTGTGCAGCAATTTCATTATGGGGGAGACCAGCAGCTGAGAATAGAGGGATCTTTTGACCTCTGGCGATAGAATTCATGACATCAATTGTAGATATTCCTGTCTGAATCATCTCTTCTGGATAGGTTCTCTCACTAGGGTTGATGGAACTTCCTGAATTGTCGGGAAAATATTAAAATAGACGAAAATAAGCCTGCAGGTTTAAACCTCTCTAGAACAAATTATATACCTGATATATCCAAGTAAGCCTCAGGCAATATGGGTGGACCATTATCAATTGGTTTTCCTGAACCGTTAAAAATGCGGCCAAGCATGTCCAGTGATACAGGAGTTTTTAACACCTGTGAATATAATAAGAGAGAAAAAAATGGGATTCAACAGTTGAAATTATTCACAGCAAGTCAAGGAATCAAAATGAAAAAGAATTCAATAAACCGATACTTAAGGATAAATGGGTAGGAGGTAAAAAGTAATCATATTAAGTTAGAGACTATTTGAAATCGTGGTCGGAATGGCCTTAACGGTGGCTTTAAAGCGAATCGTGGTAGAAATAGCCAACCAGAAGATACATTCAAAAAATATTCACAAGATCATTCACATGCATAATTTTAAAATATAGCAGTAAGAAAAACAAGCAGTTTATACCTCTCCAGTAAATTGCACAGTTGTGAATTTATTGTCAATCCCAGATGTACCTTCAAAAACCTAGGCAATGGTACCAAAAGATAAATTAGCATAAGCCATGTTTTTGCTATAAGAGTTAATACAACATCATTAACAAAGTAAAGACAGCGCCAAAAGCTTTTCCTTATCAACTCATAAAATCTGAGAAACAATATCAAAATCTTATAAATTTCCGTTATATGTCAAAGATAAGAGCAAATATTTCCTCATGATATACAAAGGCGTCTCAAATTTTTGGAGACCCCGTGTAGATTAGTCGTAGTTTAACCATGACAAGACAAATAGAGGTCCTATTTAACCATGGTTTAACCGTGACAAACATTTTACAAGGCTCTATTTAACCACACTTTAACTGTGATAAATTTTGGACCATGTGTGATAGCCCGTCTTGCACATTCCCAAAGACGGTCCTGATGATATATGCAACTACGGGTGATTAAGGATCAACCGGAAAATTACTTAGTAAACACTCACCTGAACAACAGCTTTTTCGCCATCAACTTCTAGAACTTGGCCACGCCTAGTAGTTCCATCTCCTAACCGAATATTAACAATCTCTTGATACTTAGGTCCCTGAATCAATTAATCGTTATGAAATTCAGTCACAATATACACAAAACATCACATCCTCATTATTGAGAAAACTTCAAAATTCTAAAATACTTCAGCAAGCAAAAGCATATCAAATAGACAGAGTATAATATATAGTCATTACCTTAACTTTTTCAAGAATAACCAATGGTCCAGCAACCCCAGAAACAGTTCTATATTCTGCACAGCATAAACAAACAATTCACGAATTTATAAACTCCAAATATTGATCAATCTAAATTCCAATAGCAACTATTGAAAAAACCAACAAAAAAAAACGATAAGGGTAAAAAGGAAACTGACCCATTCCAATCTCCAAGGTTCCATCATCATCGTGAACGTTTTCAGCCGCACCCATTTCTGATACTTGAAGCAAGAACCCTTCACAAGCACTGAGAATTAAGAACGGCAAAAAGCGATGTGATGATTGATCTGAATAGCGAGCGTACCTGTGTGTGTGATCTGAAGAGGAAGAGAAGGAAAGATGTTGGCGTTGTTGTGACAGATCTAAGAGATGATAACAAATGCACGAACCATCAACGAAACACCAATTATTTGTCTCAAACAGATTGCACTACTTTTATACAATATATTTATATATTTTATTTATTCAAATGAAATTAGTAATTATATAATATTGAAAATTATTCTCTAAATTTTACAATTGGTGCATCGACAAAGTTTTATTATTATTGAGAAAAACGGATATGCACTTACGTCTAAAATATTCTCAATCAACAACTTACTTTTACAAGGATTGTTTCTACTAGGGGTGTTCGCGGTTCGGTTTGGATCAGTTTTAAGATAAAAAATCATTCGATTCAAAAATAAATTTATTTGCGGTTCGGTTCGATTTTGAATGATATATTAAAAAAATCCAATCCGATCCGATCCAATTTTATGCGATTTAATTTGGATCGATTTTTGGATATCAAAATTACACATTATATTTTTATTAATATTATAAAACTACTAATAAATCATAGATTTGATATTAATATATAACATATAATATATTAAAAGTTAATATTACAAAATGAGAGTGGTTGATTATGATTGAAATAATAAAAATAAATAAATTATACCAAGCTAATAACTATTATTAAAAAAATTATTATCATCTAATAATAATTTCACATAGCATATCATACTAATAAAAAGTAAATAAGTATAAAAATATATGTATGCGGTTTGGTTTGGTTTGGATCGGTTTTGAAAAATTAATCCGAAATTCGATCCGAACTGATCGGTTTTCACAAAATAACATCCAAACACATCCAATAAATTTCGGTTTTTTGCGGTTTTCGGTTTTTTGGATCGGTTTTCGATTTTTTATTTAGATTGGTTTGGATTTGAACACCCCTAGTTTCCACTTCATAAGGATCAGAATACAATTTGATATTCCTCGAACTTTCGTTTTTTAGCATGAACTTGTTTACCATTTATTTTGGACAGAGTCGGTACCTGTACCACTATTAGGGAGGCTCAATCTAGCGCTTCTACAAAGGTCTAAAAGCATGTAGTCCAAACCAAGGATCGTTGAACATTTTCTCATGTGTTACTAGAGGAACGTGACTTGCATGTGTCAATAACGCCATCATCCTGTCTTCCGAGAATAACAGGTCCGACTTTTCTATTTTTTTGAGGCAACTGATCAGAGAGGAGGCCACGTGCTGGACTCCATACACCTGTAAACTCTGGCAGTCTTCATTATTGGGCCTTATCGTGACCCAACACTAGAGATCTTGGCCCAGCGCTGGGGGCTATAAAAATCCTCTTACTTGAGAGGGTCAGGTATTCATTCAACTACACTCTCACACTTTACTTGCACATACTCTGAACCTTACTTTGGCATCGGAGTGTCTTACAGGTATCCCCCACTTCATATTTAACTAATACTCAACTCAAAGCTCGTGGGCCTTGACGGTCTCTTCTAATCAGGTACGATCAGTGGCACCGTCTGTAAGAATCCAGCTTCCCCGTCTTTCATTTACCTAAGACCAAAGCAACTCTCTCAACCTTCTGATCGTCATGGCCGACCAAGCTAACAACTGTGACCAAAACATCCATTTTGCCGACGTTGGCAACAACAACAACGCTACCACTACCGAGCAAGATCTCAGGGACAGGATGACTGCGTCCTCCTCCACCGCTTGCAACCACGCGACGATGCCAACCATCCTCGGCAGAATTACAAGCCCGTTATGTATCAAGAGATCCCCGTTCCTGAGAATGTTGATCCTACGACCAAAGCCTTGTTTATGGTGATCAACCAAACAAACTACACGATCTTCGCGCAGGGCGAGCGCCTGGTGATGCTGGAACAGACCCGTCGGTCCCCCAAAAAACACTGAAGGCCTGATTCACGAACTCCTCCTCCCCGGCAACAGGAGGACCTCTCCCGATCTCCCCTGCGAAGACACAGACGGGACGGTTCTCGAAGCCTCTCTCTCTATCGCACTGAGCAAGGCCCAGCATTAGAGAGGACCCAGCCCGAAGCCGTCTAAAAGTGTGGTCACATTCCCTGCGTAAGGAACGACGATCCCATGAATGTAAAAGGAACAGGGGCGATAAAGAAAAGAAGTCTCGACTGAAGAATCCTCCCTGTGTCCAAGACCGACACAAAGATCGTCGCTACAACTTGTCCCCCTATCACTCACCAAAACGAAGCGACGAAGATGACCTCTGTGGTCCACTGTGTTAGAACATAGTTTGATTCTACAACCCTCAATTAGAGTTTTGATGATAAAAAAATACAAGAATAAATAAATTATAAGATTTATATATAAGACATATATGCTACTTAAAATTATGTTGTGTATTTACAGAAACTCTGTTGGAATCAGCATCAGAAGATCAGTATCAACATCAGCATCAGAAGATATGTCAGCATCAGAAGATCAATATCATGTGCTACACGTTGAAGTTACCAGATCATACGCTGAAGCCTGATGACCAGAATCTGCGCATAAAATACTCTGACTCTGATCAAGATCTTTACCAAGTCATCAGCACTCAGAAGCGTCATCATCCAGTTAAAGTAAAGAACACTCTGAGTATCATAAAGAAGATTCTGAAGCGTTACTAAGCATTCAAAGACAGATTAATTACCAACGGCTTTATCCAAGACAAGATCTTCTCAAAAAGGAAAGAACGTTATGGTCATTGAAAATGATTTATGGACACCAACGTATCTTTGCCTTGGCTATATAAACAAGTCAGTGTGAGAAAAGAAAAGGCTAATAATCTACGCACGCACTCATACAATTTGCTAAGCTTTCAAACCACGCCTACTCAAAAGCACTAGCAATCCAGTTTTTATTCCAAGCTTAATATTGTGTATTATCACAGTTGTGATATATAGTTTTGTTAGAAAACATTAACACACATTTTGTTCAATTATCTGTAAGAGAATTTCCTTGAGATAAACCGGTCTGTGGTTAGACTCAAGAAGGCTTTAACAGTTGTTAAAGCAGACTGTTGTAATCCTATTGAATATAGTGGATTAAGACCTTGTTGGAGAGAGGCGAAATCACCTTGACGGGTGGACTGGAGTAGTTTGAGATCAAACGAATCAGGATAAAAATACAGTGTTGTCTGCACATTTGATTTAAGTTTTACAATTCAACCCCCCTTCTTGTGTTTTTCACATCTTCAATTGGCATCAGAGCGCCTGGTTCTGAGCTTATAACACTTAACCGTGTCAGTACAAGATCCAGCGTCAGAAAAACACAATGGCAGGACCACATCAAAACATCAGCAATGACAACAATGAAGAAAGAGACAGATTCAGTGGCAAACCTCCAGTCTTTGATGGAGAGAACTTTGACTACTGGAAAGACAGAATTGAAAGCTTCTTTCTGGCCCATGATGTTGATCTGTGGGACATGGTGACTGATGGATACACGCACCCAGTGGATGGAAGTGGTCAGAAGATTGATAGGAAAGCAATGTTTGATCAGCAAAATCGTGATTTCAGAAATCATCACAAGGCCAGAACAATTCTTCTCAGCGCCATCTCTTATTCTGAATATGAAAAGATATCAAACAGAGACACTGCAAAGAATATGTTTGACTCTCTAAGAATGACGCATGAAGGCAACATTCAAGTCAAAGAAACCAAAGCTCTTGCGCTCATTCAGAAGTACGAGGCATTCAAGATGGAAGAAAGTGAATCAATAGAAACGATGTTCTCAAGATTTCAAATTCTGGTTGCTGGTCTCAAAGTTCTTGACAAAGGGTATTCTACTGCTGATCATGTTAAGAAGATCATCAGAAGCTTGCCAAAACAGTGGAGGCCAATGGTCACAGCGCTTAAGCTAGCCAAGGATCTCAACAAAATCTCTCTAGAGGAACTTGTCAGCTCCCTCAGAAGTCACGAGATAGAGCTAGAAGCAGATGAACCTCAAAAGCAAAGCCATTAGCTTTAAAATCTAACAGAAAATCTGACTCCAAGGTTTTGCAAGCTGTAGAAGAAACCTCTGATGGGTCTTCATCAGAAGAAGATGAACTATCTCTCCTCTCTAGAAGGGTGAACCAATTATGGAAGCAGAGGCAAAGGAAGTTCAGGAATCCCAGAAGATCAGAGAATCAAAATGAATCTTTCTCCAGATACAGAAGGTCAGAATCCTCCTCTGGACACAGAAGATCTGAAGGCTCTTCAGGAAGCAGAAATCCAAACAACAAAGACATCATCTGCTATGAATGTAACGAGCAATGACACTACAAAAGTGATTGCCCAAAGCTTCAGAAGGAAAAGCCCAAAAAGAAGTTTGGCAAGGAAAAGAAGAAAAGCCTCATGGCTACATGGGATGATTCTGACACATCTGAAGCTGACTCAGAATCAGATGATGAAAGAGTAAACATAGCTCTCATGGCAAACATAACAGAAGACAATGAAGCTTCTGAGTCAAACTCTGAATCAGATACAGAAGAGGTATTCCCTGACTTTGTTATAAACTTTACTAAGGCTGAACTAGCTGAAAGCCTTAATGAAATTCTGGAAAGATATCAGCAGATCAGAGTCAAATTCAGAAACCTGAAAAGGAATCTTGCTTCTGACTCTGATAAAACTGAGAGTCTCAAATTGGAGAATTCTGAGTTAAAAGATAAAATTTCAAAATTAGAAAATCTATTGCAAAACTCTCAGAAGGAAACAATCCCTGAAACTCCCAGCAGTGCTGATGAGATCATCAAGGAGTATGATCACAGCTTTCAGAAGTTTCTAGCTAAAAACATAGATAGAACCAAAATGGCTTCAATGATCTATGGAGTTAGCAGAAATGGCAGAAAAGGAATAGGATACCAAGGTAAGGTACCTACACCAAAGAATGCCATGGATTTAGTTATAAAACACAC